CTTTCCATCCTTCCTTCCTGTTCTCTCTTTATCCTCTCTCCCTCTCTGTCTTTCTGTTTGTCCTTCCTTCCTTCCTTCCTTCCTTTCTTTTTCTTTCTTTCCATCCTTCCTTCCTTCCTTCCATCCTCCTTCCTTCCCTCCCTTTTCTCTCTTTATCCTCCCCCTCTCTTTCTGTTTGTCCTTCCTTCCTTCCTTCCTTTTTCTTTCTTTCCATCCTTCCTTCCTTCCTGTTCTCTCTTTATCCTCCCTCCCTTCCTCTCTGTCTTTCTGTTTGTCCTTCCTTCCTTCCTTCCTTCCTTCCTTCCTTCCTTCCCTTCTTCTTCCCTTCCTCCCTTTCTTCCTGCCATCCTCCCTCTTCTTCCTCCCTCCCTACTTCCTTCTTTCCTTCCTCCCTCTTCCTTTTTTCTTCCCTCCCTCCTTTTCCTTCCTTCCCTCCTCCCTCTCTTCCTGTCATCCTCCCTCTTCTTCCTCCCTTCCTTCTCCTTCCCTCCTTCCTCCCTCTCTCCCCCTTCCTCCTTTCCTCCTTCCTCCTTTCTCTCCTTCCTTCCTCTTTCCTTTTCCTTTCCTTTCCTCCCTCGCTTCCACCCATCCCTTTGGACACCACCAAAGCCCATCCACATCCAATCCTCACTGGAGCTCAGAGAAGGCCTGGAGGGTCCTGGGAGCACACAGCAAACCCCTGCCCAACGAGGCAGCCCCTCCCCTCCCCTTCCAGCCCCCCCCCTCCCCACAGCCCCCTCCCCATTATCCCTGCCATGGTCAAACAGGGCTTTCCAGTCATTCCTGCCTGGATTGACCACCCCGGGAGGGAGAGAGAGGGGGGGCAGAATGGGGAGGAAGCGGGTCAGAAGGTGCCAAGAGGGGCAAAATCACCCCCCAGGCCGCCCCCCCAGGAGAGCCTTGGCCAGCACGGGGCTCACCTTGGCGTAATCCAGGGGCAGCTGATCCTCCGGACACTTGAAAACGCCTTCGCTGCGGGAGGAAAAAGGAGACTGAACTGGCCAGGCGCGGGGTAAGACTCGCCTCCAGGACAGCAACGAGGCCGTCCAGTTCGGGCCCCCAAAAGATTTTGCCCACCTTGCCAACCTCTGTGCCAGGACGGCCCCGATACCCGCCGCCCCACCAACCCCAGGCTCCTCTGTCCCAATGCCTGGAAGCGCTTCGTGCCCGCCCTGGAGGGTGCAGGGATTACGACACTGAGGACTAGAATGTTTTGTTTTCCCCATCTGTGATTTTGACTGGGAAACTCCACATTTCTGTGGCTTTTGCGATGGTGTCAGCGTAACTGAGCACCGCAGCCACAACCGACAACGCGTAACTTTCCCCACAGGGGGATCCTGCCGGTTGCTGGCTGGTTTTAATGGCTCAGCTGCAGATCAAGGGATCCCCGGCTGCCATTGGCCAAGCCATTTGAGAGCCACGGGCCTCCTTGGCTCCGCCTCCCCGGACCACGGCCTGACAACAGCACAACGGGCGAGACAAAGATTTGCTTAACAACAACACAACGGACGTGGCTTCTTCTGTGCAGCTCGGAATAAACAGACCCAACTGGCATGGGGGGGGGGCAGACCTGATGCCCAGGACTTGCCGTGCCCACCTTCAAGGTGGCCGACGTGCCAAGCTCCCTGCCCGCACGGCTGCATTTGCCAGGCGGTCCTCAATTTACAACGGTTCGTTTAGCGACAACACTGAAAAAAAGTCGCTTCTGATCGTTTTTCCCACGGTTTTTTTTTTGTGGGCTTCAACTCCCCAAAATGGCCCAAAGTAAACAATCATTTCGCTTAACAACTGTCACAAAGAAGGGTTGTAAAATCAGGTCGGTCACGTGGGGGACCCCTTTGTGACCGTCACGGCTTTACTGGCCAGGCTCCATCGCGGTTGTAAGCCGAGGACTGTATGTCCTCCGATAAAGTGCCTCTGCGGCTGCAGGTTCTAAGAGAAGGTTGCCCCCCCCCCTGGGAAAACCTAGCCACCCCAATTTATTTTTATACGGGCAGTCCTCGGACTTACGACCACAACTGAGCAAGACAGTTGTAAATGAGTTTTGCCTCACTTTGTGACCTTTCTTACCACCGTCGTTAAGCGAATCACGGCCACTGTTCGGCTAAGAACACGGTTGTTAAGTGGCTTCCCCGTTGACTCTGCTCGTCAGAAGGCCCCCAAAAGGCCAGATGACCCCGGGATGCTGTGACCGTCGTAAATTCGAGTCAGTTGCCAAGCACCAGGTGACCACAGGGAGGCTGCGACGGTCATTAAGTGGGAGAACCGGTCCTACGTCACTTTATTCAGTGCCGTTGTAACTTTGAACGGTCACTAAATGAACCGTCGTAAGTCAGGGACTGGCGGTATGATGCTTGTCCAGGATTCAGGTGGGGTGGCTGCCAGGGGGTCTCAGAGGCGGCCGCCCACCTCGGTCTCTCTCCTGAAGCCGGCCTGTCCTTCTGCAAAGCCCCCCTCCCTCTGCCCCACACGCCCCTCCCCACCACAATGCCAACACTGCCCGCCTCTCACGGGAAGTCCAGCTGAGCAGGCGCTGGGCAAAGGTCACCCTGGCACTGGGTGCCAGCAGGGCAAACCCTGACTCACCCTCCCTCCGCCAGTCAGAATCACAGTCTGGGAAGGGACCCTGGAGGTCTTCTAGTCCAGCCCCCTGCTCAAACAGGAGACCCTTACAAAATCACAGAATAACAGTCTGGGAAGGGACCCTGGAGGTCTTCTAGTCCAGCCCCCTGCTCAAGCAGGAGAACCTTACAAAATCACAGAATAACAGTCTGGGAAGGGATCCTGGAGGTCTTCTAGTCCAACCCCCTGCTCAAGCAGGAGACCCTTACAGAATCACAGAGTGGGAAGGGACCTCGGAGGTCTTCTAGTCCAACCCCCTGCTCA